TTCACGATGGGATTGCAATATGTGATTTTGGAGGTAACGCGAAGGTGGTCCTCGACAAGGTTGCTAGTGGGCTTGTGACAGATGCATATGGTGGGGCAATTCTTGAGGAAATTCAAATGAGAAGTTTGCGCTTTAGTAATTTTTCTGTCAGACTTGTTGATCTTCTCTGTAACAGAGTGACTCATTTCGTGATCAGAAAAGGCCCTTTTCTAGTTTGGTAGGGTTCGACTCTTTTACATCTTTCTTTCTCATAGTAATACAAGATGTATACTGGAAGAAACACACTCAAGCTCTATCCATATCAAGGATGTACTACTTTACTCGATGCTTCTTGAAAATTTCAATTATGACATTAACATAGATATGGCTTTAGCTAGGTATGGGCGTATGGTCCATGGACAAATGACTAATGGGATGGGAAGGATACGGCCATATGAGGACAAGAAAGTTTGGTCTACAATTTGGCAAGTGTTGACAATTGGGTGGGAGATCGTGGTGCATTGTTTGGCTCTTTTTTATTCATTCATTCTCTTTTGTCTTGTTGGTATCCAGCTTGATGAATGAATGAGGTTTTTGTGGTAGCTGCGTGAGGGAGGGACAGTGGCCATTAGTTAGGAAGAATGTGGTGATCACTACAAAAAATAGAAGGTATGGGGACTAGTGTTGGGGACAACTAATATATGTTGTCTTTGGAAATAAAATTTTAAGTACTATTAAGGACCAAGTGTATAAACTGTCCCCTTAAAATATGGAATGAAAATTCATTAATTTTTCGATTTTGGTAAGTTGTCCCCAAAAATAAACGTCGGGGAAAAAATATAAAACTTGGTTGAAATTGGGTGGAAATATTTTTTTTGGCGGATTCTTCTGTCCCCAAATCAAGTTTCGGTAATTTATCTTTTTGTTAGCTAAACTTTCTCCATTCTTTTCTCAAAACTTAGTTTTTCCGTGTCCACCTTAAAGATTTTGACTTGGCTTTTTGTTTCTCAAAACTTTCTCTATCATGCTCAAAAAATTAAAGAAAATAAATTTTGGATCCGCCAATCGCCATACATCTTAATTTACTCATATATGTTATTGCGGTATGTGTATTTATATTCCTTAATTATCATCTTCAATCCGAGACTCCTATTTCATTCTTCTCTTCCCCTTAGGGTTTTTTTGCCGCCGCTGCATACATATTCATTCTACGATCTCTCAATTCAGGATTGCACAGAGATGCATTAGCAACGTTGGCCATTGGGTGCGCTGCTTCTGGCAGATTGCTTTGTGGGGTACAACAAGCTTCCGACGAAGGGGAAGTGGCTGAGTGATTGTACAAAGTCGGTGGCATTCAAGGGAGACAACATCTTTGTAACTCGAGGGTACTAATGAGTATTCCATGTGGAATGCATATTCCTTTGACGATAAGGATACAATGTTTCAGGCAGTGAAAGTGCACTCAGGAGGGTGAGACGTAGGTGAGTGTTCCCTTTCTCTTTGGTTTTCTTTTGTTTTTATTTTATGAACTAATTATTTCCTGATTGAGATGAATGATTTTCTTTGTTTTGCTGCCATTACAGATGCAATCAAGTCCAAATCAAGAATCCTTGAAGGCATTTTCGGATTGATGGAATTGTTATTTTATTTCATGGTCTAGTAGTAATTTTCTTTATTTAATAGTTAGCAGTAACTCATTTTCACTATTGATATTTTATTCTTTAGTTTTATCTTCAAATGAATGTTGGCTCATTGTTGATGTACTTTAATTGCAATTCTCGATATATATATATATTAAGTTCTTTTCTCCAAAACTAATGCTATTTGTGATAAAACAAAATAGTATAATAAAAAAACTCGTTAGATGACAACTCTTTCTCCCAAGACAAAAATTAAGGACAATTGTTCATCCCTAAAGATATATTGACTTTAATTAGACACCCATGGCAATGACATGTCGACCCTGTACAGAAAAAATGGGACATCAAATCATCCCCAAAAAGCCACAACGGTCAAGAAATGGATTACACGAGACAAAATTTTGTCTCTAGAAATAATGTTTAGGGGACAATTTATTGTCGCCGAAGTCAAACCTATAGGGACGACATGTTGTCTTTCATGGAAAGGAAACAAGACAACAACTCACATGTATCGGGGACGACTGTCGTCCCTAGTAAAGGGGACGACCTAATTTTTATCGTCCCCAAAAAAATAGAGGACAAGAGTATAGGGAACCACACGTTGGGGACAACTTAGTCGTCCCCTAAACTTATGGGGACGATTTTTCCTATTTCCAGGGACAACTCTTATCGTCCCCAAACCTCTTCTTTGGGATTCAGTTTTTCTTTCTTTTGTTAAGGTTTGTTAGAATGTATCGGAAAATCGACAATGTAAGAAAGTAAAAAAAATACATTTTTATATGGTTCACTAATGTAATGTGTGTTAGTTAGGCCATGGATAGCAAAGAATCAGTTTCACTATATTTCATTATATTTGAGGGAGATACATATTACAACAATTGAAAATGTATAAATAGTACATATTCTAGATAACGAGATCTCGTGACTTTCAATCGAGGACAAATAATTTGTCTTCCAATAATAGGTATTATAAAACTGAGGTCTTTTCCATGTGATCCATCCTTCCAATCGGTCATCAATGAACAACAACCCTTTTCAATCTCTTAGGGATCGTGGTGGTCCAACCAATCTTTTCCATGTGCTACTACTCCATCCAATCGGTCCATGCACGAACAACAAACCATTTTCAAGCTCTTACCTGTCCATTTTCGTTTACTGTTTTCTGTTTTCATGTCATAAATTTGGCAACCGAAATGAGAAAATTTGTTTACTTTTCATTCTGTTTTCTACTCGTTTCCAACTATGAAAACAGAAAGTCACAACTTCCTGTTGTTTTCGAAAACGACGAAATGTTGTTTTCACCTGTTTTCAATATCTGTTTTCTCAAAAATAGGAAACAAAAATGAAAGTAAACAGAAAGAACTGAGGCAGCTAGCATCTCTCTATTTTCGATCATCCCAATCAAGTTTACAAAACAAAAGGTCAGATTATGTTAATATTGCGGCTGTGGCCAAGCATGTTGTAGGAGACTGGATTAGGTCACTAAGCTAGTTACGATAGCGGTCCGGTTCATTGCTTGAACGGCTGTTGATGGACCAAACTGTTTCTCACGGTTCAAAATAAAATCAGCTGAACGCCTGAACCACTACGGTTTAACTGGTCCACTGGTTCACTATTTTAAACAAAAAAAAAACATACTTTAACTTAAACTAATATCATCAAACCATAAATATTAATTTTATATATGCTTCACCTTCTCATTTTCCAACCTTGTTGTCGACTCTACGTTCTCCACTATCCACTCGCGCTATAATTTTTAATTTGAATTAAAAAATTTATGATTTCTTTTGTGAGAATGTTTGAATGATTTATTAGATATTTGGTGATGATATGAATTGGAAATTATTTATGGTGAATTATAACTTCATTCTTAAATTAGTGTATTATACAAGTCTTATATGTTATATATCATGAACGGTTCTATCAACGATTCATCAACGATTTTATAACGGTTAACCACTGAACCCTAAACCACTAACTTTTCCGTTCAGCCTCCGGTCCGGTTCTGAAAACATAGATGTTTTCCCATTCGTTTTATTGTAAAAAGGTAAAATTTGTGTGTATTTTTTTTCATATAACAAGTAAGAGTGGGTCAACCCGCCCCGACCCATAGTAACATGGGGCAGGCATGAGTATTGAAGTACCCGTCCAGCCCCGTCCCATTGCCATCACTAATATCCGTGCTTTGCAGATTGGTGACATTAGCTCTTGTGTTTTGCAGAAGTTGAAGATTGTCATCACATGTTGAAGGACGACGCCGTATACATAATTCCACGCATTTGTCACGAGATTTTAGGGGTTGTTTGCTTGATGGATTTGGTGAAGGATTTGAACAAACGACCCCTTAATTTCCTTTTAAAGAAAGAATAAAATGGCAAGACCTTTTTCCCCCTCTATGCACTTCTTTGGAACAATAATGAATGTTAGTTATCTTACTTTGTAATGATTGTTACGTACAAGTTATGACAGATTTGTCTACCATTCTGTTGTGACAAAATTGAATTATCCTAATAAATACTATATCATAATATCAAGTTTTCGTGACAAAATACGTGTGGAAAATATCTAGATTTCATGACAAAGTAATTTATCACATATTTACATCAGACTGGACCTTGATATGACAAATGAAGCTGTTAAAAACAGTATGTTGTGAGTGACTAACTTTCTTTTTCGGTAATCGTTGTTGCCTCTATTGTTAAGCTCAAGCTTGACCAACTGCAAGCTTCTCTATAAAAACAACTGCAGAGCAGTTAAGTTTGCTGCAAAGCAACCTACAGTGAACACTGAAATCGTATACAGGCTCCTACCTAAAAATAGAACAGCTTATACTAAATATCATTTCCTTATCAATGGGAACTGAGAATACATTGGATAGCTAGCCCTCTTCGCCTTTTTGACAAATGTGGCCCAGTGCTCTACCCTGTCCTGGATCCGCCGCTGCACGTACCAACTCCACAACACTCCAATCAGCCTGTTATCCTGATGGAATAATCTGCAAATCTCCAGAACAATTTCCTCCAACTGCATAGGCCATGTAATATCCGATAGCAGATCAAGTGAAATTGGACGAGCATATGGATAATCACAGAAAAAATGGCTTCGCGTCTCTGCCACAGTCTCTGACAAAGCAAACACAGATCAGAATCGATTAACCCCCCAAATCTTTCAATTGAGCTCTGGTCTTAATGGAGCCCATGTCAAGACAGGTAGTTGGTCACAAAAATTATCCGGCCCATAACACTTCAGCCCATCACCCAAACACTTTAGCCCATCTGCTGGACAACTTTCTCGGAATTTGGCCGGCAATCTTTATGCTTTGATGCTTATTGCTTAGCTACCCTAGAAGATCAAAAGATTCAAAACCGGCAGGTTTTGTTTCTCTTTTGTAATGATGGAAACATTGTGAAGGAATAAGAATTTTTGGCGAACCCATACTCCATTGTCAATTTATTTGTCACATAATGTGATTCACATTCGTACATTTGCTTGGTGAAATTATCGAGTTGATTTAACAACACTTATCGTATCATTTTACAACACTATTAGATTTGGGAATCCCAAAATCGAGATCGTTATTACACAATATTATCTTATTCGGTATCGAAAGCATTGTCTCATAACTCAAGCTGCTGCAGGTAGGTGCCACCTGCGTTATGCTTGTAGAAATCCCCAACCGCGACTTCTCGATATTTTGAAGGGTTCTTTTCCGTTATCAGTTCCGCTATAGGTCCATACACTTTCGAACCCGACGACGCTTCATTACGGAAGAACGCACCGACGGATACTCTAGGTCCGACGCTCTTTACCACCGCCCTGTGCACCACGCTCGGAAACCTCCCGTTGGATATCAGCTGCAAGTTTTTTAACCCACAACGAGCTGAAATTCCGACCAGATATCGTATCCAACCAAATGCATGATGAGTTTCGAATCAGACATGAACGCGTGTACGCTAACCTGAAACATATCCCCGATGTTGACAACGAGACCTTCCGGCACAGGAGGCACATCAACCCAACAGTCCCGGCGAAGAACCTGAAGCCCTCCGACGGCATCCTGCAAAAGAATCGTGATGAAACCCAGATCGGCATGGTGATGGATTCCCATTGTGAGCTCCGGCTGAGGACAAGCCGGATAGTAATGGCACAGGGTCGCCATTCCGTCGGCACAGCCCATTTCCTTCAAGCGATTTGTCCCCAGACCCAGCGCCTCCGACAACAATTGGAAAAGCAAATCCCCCAATTTCACCATCTCCCCTGAGTACTCCGTCACGATTCCCCTGCAGCAGGCCGGCATTTGCTCTGTCTCCGGCGGGTCCGGAACCATATGATAGAGGATGGAATCTCTCCAGGTCGCCGCCGGCGAAGTGTACAGATCATAGCTGCTGGAGTAGACGACTTTCCCGGTCAGGTCGTTGCCGTAGAATTCCTTCTTCACTTCCACTTCCTGATCGAAAAACCGGTGAACTCCGGCCTTCATCTCATTCAGGGTGCTTACAGGGACTCCATGGTTGACGATTTGGAAGAAACCCCAATTTGCTGCGGCGTCTTTAATCTTTTCGACGACGTGTTTGCGCCTTTCTGGGTTTGTCGTACCTTCAAGGTCGATTACCGGGAGGATGAAATTGGGATCCTCCGGTGAAGCTAAGGGTCTGCAATTGAGGGAATCCGGCGGGGTATGGAAGATCCGGGGAAGCTCTTTGATTCCGGCGTCCACTAGCCCTTTCACTCCGGCTTTTGTGTCGTCGAACGCCTTCAGCTCCGCTAGCCGATCGTAACCTGGATTGGTAGTTGCGGCAGAAGCCATTGTTATTTGTTTTCTTGTTTTGGGTTGTCGTATTTCTTCTGATCTCTTTTTGCGGAACCTGGAAATCAATTATTTGTGCCAGCGATTGGGTTGAGATAATGAGATTTGAGAATCCATACCATTGGACCGACACATATTATTTTAAGTGGGATTTATGTAAAATTAAAATAATTGTTAAGATATGCTTGATAAGATGCTTTCTTTAAAGTTCGATATAAAAAGGAAAAAAAAAACTAACATTTTCCTTTGGATGACAAAATAGACAAAATAAAACCTGATTATTTTGTATTTTCGGTTCAATACTACTTCCACATTTTTTTAGAAGAAGAATTGTCATGTATATAACAAAAATTTAAAAATAATTCATATAAGAAGATGGTGGCAAATCTCCACATTAATAAATGCCTCTTCGCCGAACTCCCTCTTTCCCTTCACAACCTTTTCATATACGAAACCAATAGATGGTTTCACATCACCACCAACCAAACGAAGAACTCTTACCAATAGCTAAATTACCATCAAGCAAAGGTTCACACTTTAATTTCCAACGGTTGTAATTCAACATCATTGTTGTTGCTTCCTTATCATTCTTTGTGTGCTCATCTTTCAAGATATCACACTTCCTATCCACCACCATCTTTTTTAGTGCATCCTTCTTGTTCATTAAGCTTTGTAAAGTGAAACTCTCGTCATTTTTTTAATTGACGTAGCTGCTATCATTTAAGTTTCGTTAATTATTAAGAGTATTTTGACAAAAATAATGCCTGATCACACAGGATGGATGGATCGTCACCCTAAATTGTACAATGTTCACATTTGGTACAAATATCTGGATTTAACTGAAAGGACTCACCAAACCGACCCGATTTAACGTTGTTTTTCCTGATAATTTTACTAAAAACACCATGTACTCTCCCATCTCTCAAGTTAAAAATCCTACTCCACGATCAGAGCTTGAAATAATCCAACCTCGAGTTTCCATCAAGACCTTTCTCGTAGGACACGGCGGTGAACTCCTTACACGTCGTCTCTCTGTACTTCGGCGGGTTCTCCTCCGATACCAACTCTTTTATAGGTCCATACAGTCGTTGATGCTTCAACGCCGTGCCGAAAAAGAAAGCCGCCACTGACACTCTGGTCTCAGAGCCGTTTATCAACACTCTGTGCTCCACGCTTTTGAACTTGTCATTAGACATCAACTGCACAAATTACGAAAGCCAACGATCATCCCATCAATCTCCACACACACAAAAAAAATCTAGTTAGAGCAAAGAAGTGAATAATGGTGGTTTAAGAAAAACCTTGCCTGGAGCATATCTCCGATGTTGACCACCAGACCCTCCGGCAACGGCGGCACGTCGACCCATTGGTCGCGGCGGAGGACCTGGAGCCCTCCGACGTGGTCCTGTAGCACCACGGTGATGAAGTCGAAATCGGTGTGGTTGCTGATCCCAATTGCGAGCTCAGGTTGGGGAAAAGGTGGAAAGTAATGTCCAGCAACAATTAATCCTTTGCCACAATCCATCTCTGTCAGATGATTGGAGCCCAAACCCAGAGCTTCTGAGAGCAACTGAAAGAGGAGATGGCCTAGCTTCATCACTTCCTCTGAATACTCACCCATAATTCCCCTGTAGTAGGCAGACAATCACATATATTTGCTATTTGATGCTTATTGGGTGAAAAGCAAAGGGGATTTTGAGTTAAAAAGGCAGATCACTGTAAAACTTATTGGGTGAAAAAGTACTTTGGTTGTTATTTGGATTCAATTTGTTTTTTTTTTTCGATTTTATTTGTATCGGGTTGTTTTCCTCGGTAATACAAGTGATTTATTAATAAAAAGGGAAAAAATAGGGTTGTTAGCCTGTTGATTTGATTTTGTTATAAACCCTAATCGTTTAATCCATTACTGGTGAATCGTTAAGTAAATTTTTGTTTATCCTTAACCATACTGTTTATATTAGTTTATTAATCATAATTATATAATTGGTTATCGGTATTATGTCAGTTAATCGACTTGCTGTTTAGCAAGTATTTCGCCAAGATTAGAGCAAAATGATCGATAAGTAACCGACCAACAGAAGGCCACCCTCTTTTTTTTAATTGTGTATATTTGTAGATTTTTTCCCCTACATGTGTATCATGTATGAGTTCTTTATTTATATATTTTTATTATTAATTTAAGTTTGACTTGTTTCAGTTGGAACGGAGAGAAGAAAGTGGGAAGAGGAATGAGAAGTGTAGCGGCTGCGACCCATGGTCCATGAAGATAATACCCTACCGTACCGGCGGTTGAACCACAAAATACCAGTATCGAAGGCTAAATCGGTAGGCAGTATTTAATGGTACTAATGGTTGAATTACGGTTAAATCACGGTTTTGTCATAAAATACCCTACCGCTGACTTTCCCGGTACGATCTCCGGTATGATTTCATGGACCATGCTACGACCTGGGTGAGTGAAGTCATCGATGGAAAAAAAAAATGGGACATAATCTTTGCTATCTTTCCTCTATAATAACTCATTTGATCTTTTCCATTCAATTTTAGTGCCTACATTTCAATACCAAAACTAATTGGTGTTCTTTGTCTCTTTCAATTTTAGGGTTCACACTAAAAGGAAATCGGAGAAAGAAAAAGATGGTCGGGGTTGGACCGGGCGGGAGGAAATTGCTTGTTGAAAGTTCAAAAGTTTTTTGGGAGGAACATGACCACTTTAAAGGAGAGAAACAATTCGTACTTATATCAAATTAGTTAATGATAACACCAGAAGTCATTTTAGCCTACCAATAACTGCACTAATAACTCATAATCAGTTATCGATATAATCGTTAACCATCTAGTACTAGTTAGTTTATTAGTGTGACCACTAACCAAAAATCACCACTTTACTTTCAAATCCTTGCATTTTGATTGGTGAGCAAAGCTCTGACCTTTACTCTGTTTCTTGGTGGGGTATGTAAAAAAACAGAGGACTTTACTAATAGCGTCAAGAGTTCACACCTGTAGCATTCCGGCAACTCGCTCTCCTCCGGTGGCTCCGGCGCCGCCTGATAAATGGTGGAATCCCTCCAATTCGTCACCGGCGCGCCGCTGAAGAGGTCAAAATTACTATTATAGACGAACTTCTTCTCCGATCCCCGTCCGAAGAATCGCTTCCTCTGCTCCACCTCCAGCTCGTGAAACCTGTGGACTCCGGCCTTCATCTCCTCCACCACGCCAGTCGGGATCCCGTGGTTGACCACTTCGAAAAACCCCCAATTCGCCGACGCGTCTCTGACCTGCTCGACGATCTGGTTTCGCTTCTCGGGATCCGTAGCCGCGCCGTGGAGGTCGATGATCGGGAAGATGAAGTCCGGGTCGCCGGCGGCGGGAGCGGACTGCCTGTCGTCGACGAGGTGGGGCGGGGTGCGGAAGATTCGAGGGAGCTCCGTGACTCCGGCGTCGACGAGGCCTTTGACGCCGGCTTTCGTCTCGTCGAATGCTATGAGCTCGGCGAGGCGATCGTAGGTTGGTTCTTCGGCCGCCATGGATTTTTTGGTGTGGTGGTTGATTTTGTGAAAGCTAAAGGGGATGAACTTTATACCGATATAGTGTGTTGGTCCGGCGGCTAGGAAATTAGTGGCAACTGGGCAAGTTGTGCATTTTAATCTTTTCGTGAGATTAATGGTAAGCGTGCTTAGATCCCTAATCGTCGGGGTTGCAATTTTGGTTAATCTTAATTATCCTGTTGGGGCTGCTGATCCGTCCTAGGAGAAATATAAGGAAGCAAGTTGCATATGCTACACTCAGGTCTTTGCACAAGAAATTTCATATGTGATCGGATTATGTCTTAAATCCATGTTTGTTGATTAAAATGAGGTTGACCTAGGAGTCTATAGATGTGAAATTATATTTTGGCTCAAAATTTGTAGACTCCACGAATAATAAAATCCCAACTTATGAGCTAGGATTTTGAGAGAAGCCAAAATCCACGAACCCCACTAATGATGAATAACCAAAGTATCTTTAACTAAAAAATAAAAATACTTTATTGATGATATGAATAAAGATATGATGGTAAATTCATCATTTAACTCATAAATCCATTATACTATAATCTATTTTGAAATCCAACAAGCAAACATACAATTTCTAAAATACAGCACAAAATCCAATATAATCCTTTATTTCACTTAAAGGAATTCTCGTTATTTAAGGGGCAATATGGAAAGAGCGGTTATAAGTTGTTCACAACTACCACGAATCCGAAGGGATTTATTTCACTTAAATCCTTTCACTTATTTCTCATCGCACTTTCATAAGAATACGACTCTCATTTGCTTCTCTCTTTGATTTGGAGTTAAAACAGTTTGACATAAACACGGTTAAGTGTTAACCTTCATCTAATTGACCTTGAGGAAGAGATGCACATGAAACTTGATGATTTTGTGATGATATCTTTTCTCACTTGCAACTTGTATGGCCTCACGCAAAACCCTAAGAACAACTACAAATAACAAAAGAAGGAAGAGAAAGCAATGACACACTGAAAATCCATAAACCTTTTATTCCACACTGCAAACCTTCAATGATCACCACACCAGGCCATTAACAGCTACTAACACACACATTTAAATAGAACACGTGGCACCCAACAATATCAGCCAATACTTAATTAAATAAAGAACCCAACTTAACATAACAAAGGCAAAACAATGTTGCCTAACTTAAAACAAACTGAATCCCATAGTAGGGAGAATCTTGACAACAATTAATCTCAAAGGTAAATTGAAGTACAATACTCAACAACACAAGCCCAATTTTAGGTATTGCTCAAAGTTATAGTTCTCAGATCATAAACTGCACCAGCGAAGAGGTCCCATCCAAGCCCTTTTGGTAGGATTTGACTGTGAAATCTGGAATCGAGGTTTCCTTGTATTTCGGAGGATTCTCTGCCGATAATAACTCTTTTATAGGTCCATACATTCTCGCGTTTGGCGAGAATCCAGTGCTGAAGAACGACGCTACGGACACTCTTGGTCCAATCGTTTTCGCCTGGACTCTATGCTCCACGCTTATAAACTTGTCGTTTGATATCAGCTTTAACGTCACCAAAAAAAAAACCATTTAATTAATTCCCTCATTAATCATGAACTAAACTTGAACTTATCAAAACCTATTTGATTAGATGAAAGACATACCTGAAGCAAGTCTCCAACATTGACAACGAGACTCCCTGGCAACGGAGGCACGTCGACCCAGTGATCCTGATGAAGAACCTGAAGGCCTCCGATGTGATCCTGCAGCAGAACTGTGATGAAGTCGAAGTCGGTGTGCTTGCTTGCTCCCACGGTGAGCTCTGGTTGAGGACAAGGTGGATGGTAATTGCACGCCATGTAGAGTCCCTTTGCACAATCCATCTCTTTCAAGTAATTGGAGGGTAGACCGAGAGCTTCCGATAGAAGTTCAAAGAGCAGATCGGTCAGTTTGAGCAATTCCTGAGTGTACTCTATCACGATTTCACTGCATGATGAGAATTTGTAAATCGATCAGCTGAACAATAAATAAAAAAATGATATATGTATATTGGTTTCACGCCATGCGAACTCATACGAGCTTAAAGTTTGCATAGATACAGATATCTGTGTTCAACAAATGAGAGGCGTGTCCAGATCTTAACATGTAAAATAATATTTTTGGTCACGACAAAATACTATGATATTACGTGAAGAGAACACGTTGGTGTCACATTATATAACTCGAGTTGTCGGGAGATGTTCAGTTACGTATATTATACATTTATACTAACACGCCCTCTTACACACAAAAGCTAACGCATACGGAGAGTTGGAATTTGAACATAACGCCTCTAAATGACAGAAGGCTATCAGCTGATATGTCATATAAAAACACAACTGGTCTGAAAAATAACTCGACTTGTTAGTAGAAGAAGAAGAAACGTAGAGAGGTTCAGTTATTATTGATCTTGTACCGTTTACTAAAACGATTTTGTTATTACCTGCAGCACGCCGGCAGTTCTTCAGGCTTAGGAACGTCAGGAGCGGTGTGAAACAAGACGGCGTCCCTCCAGTTGGTAACCGGCGCGCTGTACAAGTCGAAGTTGCTGTTGTAGACGACCCTCTTACTCGGATCGCGGCCGAAGAACTCCTTCTTCGCCTCCAAATCCTGCTCGTGAAACCTTCGGACGCCGGCTTTCATCTCCTCCATCACGCGCTCGGGGATCGCGTGGTTCACCACCTCGAAGAACCCCCACTTCTCCGCCGCCTCCCTGACCTTCTCCACGATCACCTTCCGATGGTCCGCCGCAGCGCCTTTCAGGTCGATGACGGGGAAAATGAAGTCGGGGTCGGAGGGTGAGAACGACGCCGTTTTGGTGGTGGTGTCGAGGAAGTGTGGCGGCGCGTGGAAGATGCGGGGGAGCTCGGTGATGCCGGCGTCCGCCAGGCCTTTGACGCCGGCTTTTGTTTCGTCGAATGCTGTCAGCTCGGCGAGCCGGTCGTAGGTTGTGGAAGCCATTGATTTTTTTCTTATGTTTTTTTTTTTTTTTTTTGGGTTCGGGGATGTTGATGATTGAGGTTGGGACAGGGAGATGTAGAGAAAGTGAGCTACGAGTGGATTTATAGTGACGAGGTAAAGTCGTCGGATATACTATAAGTAATGGTGACGACTATAACATTCCCGTCGACGTCGCCGGCAGGATATAGCCGGTCAATGTCTACTTCCGTCGGTATGTAGGTGTCTTGGTGTGTGAGCTAGCAAATTAGTGACAAGTTGTCCTACTAAGATTGATGCTAAACGTGCTTAGATCCTTAATTGCGGGGTGTTGTTGGATTTAATTGGTTAATCTTAGATATCCTGCTGATTGGTCCTTCGAGTATTTCAATATCTTCGAGTTTGTTAATTTAAGGAAGGTTTAGTGCAATAACATATATTTCAAATTTCTCAAAACAAAATAAGGAATATAATCCTTAATTTGTAATAAGATCTAGGAAAACTTATGGTTAAAAAGGTCGAATTTCAAATTGCAGGAAGTATATTTAATGTAAATCAATTTTTTTTTTTTTGCTCCTAATTCAATAACTTATTCACAAAGTCAAACTAAGCAAGAGGGGATTATGGGAAAACCAAAAAAAATGGGAAACTCGATTTTTTAAACGCTATGTTTTGTCTTTGGGAAGACGAAAGATGTGAGTTTCTCATTTCTCTATTCGTTATTCCCATAGTAAATGAATACTCTATTACATTGATCACCCATATTAATGAATTATGTACGTTTCTCATGTTGATTCGCGAGCCACAAAATTCTCGTTAAAACACTTTAGGAAAGTTGTTACTAAAAGACTTAAAAGAGATCAATTTTGGGGAAATACTAGAGGTGTGATGTCGAATGTAGGATTAATGGATTATGATACAAGGTAAAGTCTCATATATATACTACGTAATGGTAACAACTAACAATCCCGTCGATGTCGCCGGCCGGATAATATAGCCGATCAATGTCCACTTCCGTCGGTATATAGGTGTCACATTTTGGCTGTCGGGCATGATTTGTCAGTAACGAACGACTTATCCAGTACGTTGGCCGTCGCCGGTCGGGCAATCATGGCTCAAGTGGTTGATCTAGAGACGACAAGCATTCAATTTACGTTTGAGGTTCCCATCTCTTCGGTGATCACAATGATGCCCTAATCACTTTCTTTCTGTCGTTTTTGTGGTGTCAAACGAGATTTGAAAGTGACTTATGTTCAAGTTGGTGTGTCCCAAAATCCCATATGCAAGAAAGACACAAGTCTTCTAGGTACCCGATCGATCGACGAGCCACCCACACAATTGATTGCCCCAAAGTGTAGGTGTGTGTGTCAACCTAGGGTTTAACATGATCTCACATGTCTTAAGCTAGGGCTGGTAATCGGTTTTCCGGTTATCGGTATAACCGGTAACCGAACCGGTAACCGGCGGTTACCGGTTATACCGATAACCGGAAAACCCGGTAGTCGAATGGGTAAAGTGTGGCACCGGTATACCGCCTACCCACACGGTAAATACCGTCGGTAGGACGGTTAACCGGATACCGTGCGAAACTCACAAAACGCAGCGCTTAGGGAGGGACGGAGGGTGAACAAAAAAAAACCCTAAAGACTCGTCCTAAACCTTCTGACCTTCACCTTCTCCATCGTCTTCGTCTCTCACTCACACAGCCCAGCCGCCGACCCGAGATTCCTGGAGAGGAGACTTAAGCATCGGCCACCATCGCCGCAAAGCCGCCCCGCGACGCCGCTCCGCCGCCCCGCTCCGCCGCCTTCCATCCTTCCCTCTCCTGTTCTCCTCCCTCTCCGACTCTGCAGACGGCCGACGCTCTGCCCTCCCGCCAGGACGACTTCCTCTTCCCCAGTCGCCGCCGCTCTGTAAGTCTCCTTCTCCTTCTCTTGCCTTCATCATTCTTCTTCCCCCAGTCCCTACCCCTCCTGTTTGAGAAGGACTGTTTGTTAAGTTGAGGCCTTGGTGTTGGTGTCGAACAGAGGCCAGA